CAGCCTGAAACCCCTTAGGAGTTGCCAGAGTTGGGGGCCAGGCCCCTGGAGGGCTATTCTGCCCGCTGCGGCCCATCGGAAACCCCGCCCCCCCAACAGCCTCCGTGGCTACGCCTGGCATCCCAGGCGAGAAGCCCATGGAGTAGGTATCAGTCTGTGACCTCCTGTGCCACCCCAGAGCTGGCTTCTCGAGGTCCCGGTCATACCTCCATTGGCCCTGCCACCCCCCATACCCCCCATGCAGCTTTCACTGGGTGCTGGTGACAGAGGGATGAGTCAGGCTCCCCCACTCCTTGGTCACCGAGGACATGGGGAGGGAGGGTATGGTGATCAGTTCAGTGGGCTGGGCCTGAGACAGGAATATGGAGAGAGAGGGTTCTAGGGGGGACCCAGGGAGTCACTGGTCTACACGGCCTGCACTCAGCCTCCTTTCCACCTACTTATTCCTCCGGGACCCCACAGACAAGACAGAAAGAAAGAAGAAAAAAAGACAGACCGGGAGACACTGGGCAGGTGCACCCCCATACCACCATCCCCGCCACGGGGCCTAGCCTTCCCTCCAGGGTCAGCATCCTCTCCCCTGGAAGCACCTCCTGCCCTCTAAATGGTGCTGGTCCGAGACAGCTTACCCACCTGTCCCTGTTCTTCGCCCGCCCCCCCACTCCATCCCCGACCCCTGCCCCGCTGCCAGGAAGCTAGTTGGAGTCTGGGCAATGACTTGCGATGAGTCTGGGCTGGGCCTTGCCCACAGAACCTCAGTCTTGGCCCCTGGGAAATGGGTCCAATGGAGTAGAATCTCTTCTACTCCGGGGCTCTCAAGCCAGGGTCCAGGTCCCCACCCCACTGTGCTCTGTGTATATACCCCTGTCGGGGAGAGTCTGGCAGCTCAAAAGATCACTCTGGGAGCCCCACTCTGCCCCCTATCTACCCTCAGGGAAAAGGAGGCCACAGAGAGGCAGCTACCAGCCCAGGCCACTCAGCAGGCCAGAGCCAAGCTGGACCCCAGGCCTCCTGCCTCCAGTCTTGGTGGGGCTCCGGATGTTGGAGGTAGCCCCCTGAACCCCTCATCGACTTTTCCAGTGCTCCACTTCCCACCAGTCTCGGCATTCGGGGGGTCACAGGCTGCTCATCCAAACTTCACAAACCCCGGAACACTGACAGGAACAGCACAGCACACCTCCCCCCGCCCCCCCCACCAAACAGGTGCTGAGGTCTGAACATACCCTGGGGACTGTCACTCCCCTTCCAGCCCTGGTCCATGGCCCTGTCTGGAGCTGGGTTTGGGCAGCCTCTGCCACCCATCCATTGGTTACCTGCTGGAAGCCAGAGCATCCTGCCTGATCCCCTCTGCAGGCCTGTGTCTGCCGCTCTGGGTGGCCGCCTCCCTCTAGGGGATTAGCGGGCAGTCACGGGGGCCGGGCTGTACCAGCCTCGAGGGGGCCGCCCTGTCCCGGCCTCCCACCCGAGGCCCAAAGCACCTTAGCCTGCAGGCCCAGGGCGGGACATAGGAAACCCGGTGGGTTAAGCGTCGGGCTGCTATCCACAGGGTCAGTGGTTCAAACCCATGGGCTACTCTTCCAGAGGAAGACGAGGCCATCTGCTCTGTGAAGGGTTACAGTCTAGGAAACCCCAGCAGGCTGTTCCTCTGTCATGGAGGGTGGCAAGGAGTTGGCCGCAGTGGGTCCATGTGTCATCACCTCCCACAAAATCTTTCCTAGTTCCCCATCTGCACCCACTGCTCAGAAGGAGAGACGGAGGCCCAGTGGGAACCAGGTGGAGAACCGGGGCCCCAGTCACTGGGGAACCACAGGCGACCCTCCCCATAGGCCCAACCTCAAGCCTGAACCCACTTAAACCACCACACTCAGACCACAGGGACATTTAGGCAGTCGTTCCCTGCCATCTGCACCCCACACTCCCACCCAACCATCGCACAACCCCACTCCCTGCCTTTGAGACCCCCTGCCCTCAGCACCCCCCATCCTCAGCCCCAGGCACCACTCCCCTCTCTGTGG